GTTTAAGCCCTACCAGCACCACACGTATTCTAGGTAAGAGAGGTTTAAGCCCTACTGCAACACACGTATTCTAGGTAAGAGAGGTTTAAGCCCTGCTGCACCACACGTATTCTAGGTAAGAGAGGTTTAAGCCCTACTGCACCACACGTATTCTAGGTAAGAGAGGTTTAAGCCCTGCTGCACCACACGCATTCTAGGTAAGAGAGGTTTAAGCCCTGCTGCACCACACGTATTCTAGGTAAGAGAGCTTTAAGCCCTACTGCACCACACGTATTCTAGGTAAGAGAGGTTTAAGCCCTGCTGCACCACACGCATTCTAGGTAAGAGAAGTTTAAGCCCTACAGCACCACACGTATTCTAGGTAAGAGAGGTTTAAGCCCTGCTGCACCACACGTATTCTAGGTAAGAGAGGTTTAAACCCTACTGCACCACACGCATTCTAGGTAAGAGAGGTTTAAGCCCTGCTGCACCACACGCATTCCAGGTAAGAGAGGTTTAAGCCCTACTGCACCACACGTATTCTAGGTAAGAGAGGTTTAAACCCTACTGCACCACATGCATTCTAGGTAAGAAAGGTTTAAGCCCTGCTGCATGCATTCTAGGTAAGAGAGGTTTAAGCCCTACTGCACCACACGCATTCTAGGTAAGAGAGGTTTAAGCCCTACTGCACCACACGCATTCTAGGTAAGAGAGGTTTAAGCCCTGCTGCACCACATGCATTCTAGGTAAGAGAGGTTTAAGCCCTGCTGCATGCATTCTAGGTAAGAGAGGTTTAAGCCCTACTGCACCACACGCATTCTAGGTAAGAGAGGTTTAAGCCCTGCTGCACCACATGCATTCTAGGTAAGAGAGGTTTAAGCCCTGCTGCATGCATTCTAGGTAAGAGAGGTTTAAACCCTACTGCACCACACGTATTCTAGGTAAGAGAGGTTTAAGCCCTGCTGCACCACATGCATTCTAGGTAAGAGAGGTTTAAGCCCTGCTGCATGCATTCTAGGTAAGAGAGGTTTAAACCCTACTGCACCACACGCATTCTAGGTAAGAGAGGTTTAAGCCCTACTGCACCACACGCATTCTATGTAAGAGAGGTTTAAACCCTACTGCACCACACGCATTCTAGGTAAGAGAGGTTTAAGCCCTACTGCACCACACGCATTCTAGGTAAGAGAGGTTTAAGCCCTACTGCACCACACGTATTCTAGGTAAGAGAGGTTTAAGCCCTACTGCACCACACGTATTCTAGGTAAGAGAGGTTTAAGCCCTGCTGCACCACACGTATTCTAGGTAAGAGAGGTTTAAGCCCTGCTGCACCACACGCATTCTAGGTAAGAGAGGTTTAAACCCTACTGCACCACACGTATTCTAGGTAAGAGAGGTTTAAGCCCTACTGCACCACACGTATTCTAGGTAAGAGAGGTTTAAGCCCTGCTGCACCACACGTATTCTAGTTAAAAGAGGTTTAAGCCCTACTGCACCACACGTATTCTAGGTAAGAGAGGTTTAAGCCCTGCTGCACCACACGCATTCTATGTAAGAGAGGTTTAAGCCCTAATGCACCACATGCATTCTAGGTAAGAGAGGTTTAAGCCCTGCTGCACCACATGCATTCTAGGTAAGAGAGGTTTAAGGCCTGCTGCACCACACGCATTCTAGGTAAGAGAGGTTTAAACCCTACTGCACCACACGCATTCTAGGTAAGAGAGGTTTAAGCCCTACTGCACCACATGTATTCTAGGTAAGAGAGGTTTAAGCCCTGCTGCACCACACGCATTCTAGGTAAGAGAGGTTTAAGCCCTACTACACCACATGCATTCTATGTAAGAGAGGTTTAAGCCCTACTGCACCACACGTATTCTAGGTAAGAGAGGTTTAAGGCCTGCTGCACCACATGCATTCTAGGTAAGAGAGGTTTAAGCCCTGCTGCACCACACGCATTCTAGGTAAGAGAGGTTTAAGCCCTACTGCACCACACATTCTAGGTATGAGAGGTTTAAGCCCTACTGCACCACACATTCTAGGTAAGAGAGGTTTAAGCCCTACTGCACCACACATTCTAGGTATGAGAGGTTTAAGCCCTACTGCACCACACATTCTAGGTAAGAGAGGTTTAAGCCCTACTGCACCACATGCATTCTAGGTAAGGGAGGTTTAAGCCCTGCTGCACCACACGTATTCTAGGTAAGAGAGGTTTAAGGCCTGCTGCACCACACACATTCTAGGTAAGGGAGGTTTTAGCCCTGCTGCACCACACGTATTCTAGGTAAGAGAGGTTTAAGCCCTACTGCACCACACCCATTCTAGGTAAGAGAGGTTTAAGCCCTACTGCACCACATGCATTCTAGGTAAGAGAGGTTTAAGCCCTGCTGCACCACACCCATTCTAGGCAAGAGAAGTTTAAGCCCTGCTGCACCACATGCATTCTAGGTAAGAGAGGTTTAAACTCTACTGCACCACATGCATTCTAGGTAAGAGAGGTTTAAGCCCTGCTGCACCACATGCATTCTAGGTAAGAGAGGTTTAAGCCCTGCTGCACCACACCCATTCTAGGTAAAAGAGGTTTAAGCCCTGCTACACCACACCAATTCTAGGTAAGAGAGGTTTAAGGCCTGCTGCACCACACGTATTCTAGGTAAGAGAGGTTTAAGCCCTGCTGCACCACACACATTCTATGTAAGAGAGGTTTAAGCCCTGCTGCACCACACGCATTCTAGGTAAGAGAGGTTTAAGCCCTGCTGCACCACACGTATTCTAGGTAAGAGAGGTTTAAGCCCTACTGCACCACATGTATTCTAGGTAAGAGAGGTTTAAGCCCTACTGCACCACACGTATTCTAGGTAAGAGAGGTTTAAGGCCTGCTGCACCACATGCATTCTAGGTATGAGAGGTTTAAGCCCTACTGCACCACACATTGTAGGTAAGAGAGGTTTAAGCCCTACTGCACCACATGCATTCTAGGTAAGAGAGGTTTAAGGCCTGCTGCACCACACGTATTCTAGGTAAGAGAGGTTTAAGCCCTGCTGCACCACACACATTCTATGTAAGAGAGGTTTAAGCCCTGCTGCACCACACGCATTCTAGGTAAGAGAGGTTTAAGCCCTGCTGCACCACACCCATTCTAGGTAAGAGAGGTTTAAGCCCTACTGTACCACATGCATTCTAGGTAAGAGAGGTTTAAACCCTACTGCACCACATGCATTCTAGGTAAGAGAGGTTTAAGCCCTGTTGCACCACATGCATTCTAGGTAAGAGAGGTTTAAGCCCTGCTGCACCACATGCATTCTAGGTAAGAGAGGTTTAAGCCCTGCTGCACCACATGCATTCTATGTAAGAGAGGTTTAAGCCCTACTGCACCACACGTATTCTAGGTAAAAGAGGTTTAAGCCCTGCTACACCACACAATTCTAGGTAAGAGAGGTTTAAGCCCTGCTGCACCACACGCATTCTAGGTAAGAGAGGTTTAAGCCCTGCTGCACCACACGTATTCTAGGTAAGAGAGGTTTAAGCCCTGCTGCACCACACGCATTCTAGGTAAGAGAGGTTTAAGCCCTGCTACACCACACCAATTCTAGGTAAGAGAGGTTTAAGCCCTACTGCACCACACATATTCTAGGTAAGAGAGGTTTAAGCCCTGCTGCACCACACGCATTCTAGGTAAGAGAGGTTTAAGCCCTACTGCGCCACACGCATTCTAGGTAAGAGAGGTTTAAGCCCTACTGCACCACACGCATTCTAGGTAAGAGAGGTTTAAGCCCTACTGCACCACACGCATTCTAGGTAAGAGAGGTTTAAGCCCTGCTGCACCACACGCATTCTAGGTAAGAGAGGTTTAAGCCCAGCTGCACCACACCCATTCTAGGTAAGAGAGGTTTAAGCCCTGCTGCACCACACCCATTTTAGGTAAGAGAGGTTTAAACCCTACTGCACCACACGCATTCTTGGTAAGAGAGGTTTAAGCCCTACTGCACCACACGCATTCTAGGTAAGAGAGGTTTAAGCCCTGCTGCACCACACGCATTCTATGTAAGAGAGGTTTAAACCCTACTGTACCACACGCATTCTAGGTAAGAGATGTTTAAACCCTACTGCACCACACGCATTCTAGGTAAGAGAGGTTTAAGCCCTGCTGCACCACACGCATTCTAGGTAAGAAAGATTTAAGCCCTGCTGCACCACACGCATTCTAGGTAAGGGAGGTTTAAGCCCTGCTGTACCACACGCATTCTAGGTAAGGGAGATTTAAGCCCTGCTGCATGCATTCTAGGTAAGGGAGGTTTAAACCCTGCTGTACCACACCCATTCTAGGTAAAAGAGGTACCCGTAATCCAATTCTACGCGTCTTACCTTTTAGAACTAGATTTTAGATTCTGTGAACAATAGTCTACATGTAATGCATCTGATTCCTGTAGAGGTTTCCTCACCAAATCAGCAAACTGGGCAAAGTTTTGTTTATAATTGTGATTTGGACATGTCCTATCACCATCCAAGAATTCCACTGATATTGGAGGCTGTGGTTCCTAGAAAATAGAACAGCTTATTAACAACACAGAGTAAAAGTTTTCAGGAAATACAATGGATGTGTAATTGTAGTGGTGGACATACTCAAAAATAAAATAAAAATAAAAAGTAAAGATAACATGTATAAAAATAAGTTTCTGGAAATATGAGGAATCATAAACATTTCCTTTTTATTAATTAATTTGAAGATGAATAATCCTATGCTGATTGCTTGTTAGTTAATGACAAGCAAAATTATAATCCACTGTAGATTTGTATGTACATGATTTGTATAAGGAAACAACAAAATGGCATTTTTCACTTTGCGGTCAGACACAAGTAGATCTGAGCTGGATAAATATTTAACCAGTTGAGATAATTGAAATAATCAATGCAAGAACCAATGAAAGCATCCCTTGCACCATGACCTATTCACCACTGTATTGGTGATTATAATTTTCTATACTGGTGTTGCATGGCTAATAAATAACCAGTAAATATAACTCTATACATGAAGTAATGGTTCACCAGTGATTGAAAGAAGGAATGGATGCCCTCATTGCTTATACAAAAGTTCAATTCTCAATGCATAGATTTTAGTGATGCAAACTTGAAGAGTACACTGCTTAATCAAATATTTGTAAAAAATTTGAGCCCATGGTTGTATTTCAACCTTTTCACCACCAGTTTCTTCTTTTCAGCACATTTACACAAAATAGTCCTGTTTATAGTCTGCCCTTTACTTCAGAAGATTGAGACAAAAATGGCCAAATTATTTGAGTAAAAACTAAAAAATTCACTGAAATTTTGACAGTTGTATACTTAGTGAAGAAATGAATGAATGGAGCATACACAAAGCTAAGATTGCATTAATGTCCATCAGCACAACAGCTTTTGGCAAAAAAATTGTGAGCTGTACTGAAAATGATGAAATATAGACACTGAAATGACAAAGTATACTTACAAAGTTTTTGGATGAGGCAGACTGATTTTTAATGTTTCCCAGATAGAGAGGTAGTAAATGAGCTTCTGTGGTGAATAAATAATCATCAACATCAATAAATAAATCTTCAGGTTCAGAAAATAAGAGATATAGGTACTTGAATGTCTCAGCCAAAACAAAGGAATCCATTCTATAATCAAACAAGCCATGCATGGCACAGTCCCTGTTAGTTATTAAATTTAAGATATATAGTTTTGTTTATAGTACTATAGTTGGAACATAAACATGTCAGAAGTATGGATCCAGAAGATGATGCTTGATTATGATGATTTTTTAACATTAAAATGATTGACATCTTGTATCTGATCGTCAAATGAGTACTTGTCCATATTGAGAAATATTGCTCTGGAACAGCATGTTTTAAAACAAAAAGGCCACCAGTTGGCTATTTTGAATACATCTATATATTTATAACCTAAAATTTAAGCATAATCAGTCAAGGCATATCAGCGATATGGCTCTTGAAGCGCATTCATTAAAACAAAATGTCAGCCAGTCAGCCATTTTGAATTCGATCTGAAAAATTAAATGACTCGCATCCAGAACCCATAATGTCCAACGTTATGTACCAAGTTTGAACAAAATCCATCAAAAAATGCTTGATTTTGATGATTTTTTATTCGGCCATCTTGAATCAGATCGTGAAACAAATTGATGTGCATATGTATAATATTATGTACATGTATGATGCATGTGTGAAGTTTGATTGTGATTAGTCCAAGCTCGTCTAAGATACAAGATATATGCACACACGAGAGGATGCATGGATGCATAAAATGTCAATCCATAAGTCCCCGTTTTCGAACTGCGTCCAAATGGGGACTAATAATCAAATCCTTCACAGTCAGGAGTGTTAGTGTTTTGTCTGTAACTATTTTTTTTTTTGTCTGTATTTTTTCGGTGTATTGTGAATTTGTTTAGCATTAAAAAAAAAAAAAAATGTTATCTGCATTCAGAATGAGGTTATAGGAAGAAGTTGGAGCTTACCATTCAAATAAGTTTAATTGTTTTGTATTGCAAATCACCTTAGATGAGCCACTTGAGATCCAGTTCAAGGAAAGCAGAAATGCTTGCATATGTACCCACTACATGTATGCGTGAACATGATCAGTACAGACATGTCAGAATCGCATTCATTAAAACAAAGCTCTCCTTCCAAATTAGTGCGTAAGCATCCTTTAATAATAAAAACAAACATGGCTACCACCAGGGTTTGACCGGACTGATTCCGTTCTAAAACTTTTTGGATTTTGGCAATCCTATGATGTATTCTTGCACTGTACTGTCTTTGTGCATACTTTGAGGTATCCTTGTAGTAACCTCATATTATTAGAAATGAATTCATACCTATCCTCATGACTTCCTGTACGTACATCCTTCATGCCTGCAAAGCCACATGGTACCCTGGCATGCTCATTCAAATTATCAATGATATTTTTACCAACTTCTAAATAGTGTGGATCATTGGTTGCCTGCAATACACAATTATATACATTTAAAGTTACCAACACAGTATTAACTACTAGGCCAGTAATAAACATGTTCCAAATTATTGATGTAAAGTCTAAACACTTTTCTTTCTATGTACTGTATTGCATTGGAAGTTTTATAAACAGGTGCTTCACAACCCAAAATAATATTGGATAATTTTTCTTTCAATGTTACTTGTACTACTTTTTAGTTTTTGTTACATATATATTTATTGCTAACAAGTGACAGAAATGTTCTTTTTCTAAAGATGCAATAAACTATTACTAAAAATAATAATAATAATAATAATAAGGTTACCACCAAAAAACGGGATCACTGTAGTGCTTCCATAGATACATGTACACTTGAATTCTTGTGATAATTTCATGATATACTGTAAAATACTTTATTTTAGCTGGAATTAATTTTCGCTGAAAAAGTTTTTTGGGTGTTTTGTATGGAATTTATTTTTACTGAATTTTGTTGAGTTAATTTTAAAATATAGAAAAAAAAAATAATATACCGTAAAAACCCGCAAATAAGCGCCACCCTCAATTAAGAGCCACTCAGTGAAAATTTGTTACATTTGACCCTCCATTAAGAGCCACCAAGAGTTGAGTGGTTTTGTCAATAAGAACCCTGAAATAAGCGCCAGCCGCCCGGTTGTTTACAATCAGGCAGACACAAGCTTGTTGTGCCTCACTTCCACCCTGCATTGTTTATTGCACCACAG